CACAAAAGTAAATATGAACTTTAGTTTGCAAACTGCTTGGCACAGCACTTGCCATTGACTTTTGTCTGCTGACCTATAGCCTCTGCTTGTATGGTGCAACGTTAAGGGAATAATAACCTTGTTGCCATCTATGTAGACTTAGAATGATTTGTAAACAGCCTGAAAAAAAAGAAAAGTTTGGTGCTCCATGTTGATGAGCAACCTGCTGAACAAACAGTGTCTTTAAAATAGGTCTGTAACAAAGAAAGAAAGAAGAAAAAGTAAGCAAGTAACTAGTTGCTATTGCTGTTGCTATAAAACAGCTGTTGATTCAAGGAGGACTATTCCTCAAGATGAACTCTCTCTCACTGAGGTTACCAATTACAGTAAGCTAATTGGTGCTCCTTAGACAGTAATCCACTCCTCAGACGGCGCGGTGCATTTGTGAGGCCAAGCTGTGGTCTGAGGGCTTGCCCTCCCTTCCCCAGCCCCGCTCCAACAGCAGCACCCAGTCCTGGGGTGCATGCAGAGGGCTGCAGTTGTGTCCAGCACAGCTGCGGGAGAGTACAGATGTGGGCACGGGCAGGCTGTTTTGTTGCCAGTGTTTTCCCTTCAGCCTTATTCTCCAAGCTCCTCTTAGCCTCTCAGAGAAATGCCAGTCCTCCTCATGGATACATGAGGATGGGATAGATGTTGCTGTTGGGGAAAGTTTGATTTCAAGGCCTGAATGCAGGCAAGCAGTTCCTTTGCACCTCTGCTTGCCATGGCAGCAAGCAGGTGTTGCTTTTCAGAGCCGTGCTGCAGTGTGTCTGGTTGCCTTCACACTTCCACTCATCATCATTTATGATACATGGCAGTGTGAATAAGCCCAGGAAGCGGGGTACAAGAGGAGCAGTCAGAAGGAGCCACCTTGCTCAAGCTTTTCTCAGAAATCGACTCCAGTCCCCCAACAGCCCAGCAAGTCGCTCTATGAACAAAATCCCTGGCTGATTCCAGCCGTGAATCATGGAGCAGAACGAAGCTCATTCCTGCTGTTTTTGCCAGAGCATTTAATTGCTGCTTCAGCCTCACAGCCCCGAGGAAATGGCAGTGGCCTCACAGCTATTGTCCTCTGTCCTGCTGTGAGGAAGCACTGTGGCAAAACTGCCTGTGAAGTGCCGTGACCGGGGGAAGTCACACCACACCACATCATGCAGTGCTTGTGAGACTTTGCCAGCCACGGGCCAAGGTTCACCCCTTATGTGATGGGCTGGGGAGCAGGTCTGGTCAGCCTTCTCCTTTCTTTGCGTCCCAGGGGCCCTGTCCTCTTCTGAGATGAAACAGGTCCTAAAATCTGCGTTCAACGAGCTTTGGAAATAATTTTTCTTCAAGGAGCAATAGGGACCCTAAGGAGCATAATGGAGTTAATGAAGATAATGGAAGTGAATTCTCTCACCCTTGTCACTGCAGGAGGAGGTATCAGGCTGCCAGGGTGGTTTTGGGGTGAAGTCCAGGTTGAGCTCAGCAAGGGTGGTGCTCCTTCCTGGATCCTGCGTCACCAGTGAGGAGGGGCTCAGGGCTCTGGGCTTTGTTTAGCTGGAGGAGAGGAGAGAGGGACCTAATGGATTCTTCAGTACTGAAAAAGAGGTTGCCAACAGGATGCAGCCAGGCATCTGAGGTGTGCACAGACAGTATGGACCATGGTCATCTGTTGAAATGAGGGAGTTTTCAGCCAGATACAAGAAGAAAAGATCGCTAATGTGATAGTTCAGCTATCACATAGAAGAGGCTGCCCTAGAAGACTGGGGTCTCTATCCCAGGGGTCTTTCAAGGCATGACTGTACAAAGAGCAGAGAAACCCAGTCCAAATGCAGCGCTGGCACTGCTGCGAGCAGGAGTTGGACCAGAGACCTCCTGGCATCTCTCCCACTTCATGTTTACCTCCTGCATGGAGATGGAGAATTTTCACCACTTGCCATCCCTTGCTGAAACCACAGAACTAAACTTTGTTTCTGTTGATAGGGAAGGACTTGCAGAGATCTCAGGGCAAACTGCGCCAAGAAGTTTGGCCCTCAGCGAGGTTTCCTCTGAGCTGAGCAATGCTGGCTGAAAGGCAATTGTCCTTTAGTGCCATCTCCTGGGAAAAAGTCAGATTTCCACCCTTGTTAGCCTTGCTTATTGTTCTGCTTCACCTCCTCCTGCTGAGTTTCCTGCCCTCCCCTCAGCTACTTTGCCAAGACATATCTTCAGGATGTTGGGCCTGGTGTTTTGAATCCGGAGTCTCTGTATCCTGTTTGCAACTGTTACAAATGTAAAGACATGGAACACTGTTCTCTTTTTTTGTTGTTGTTGCTGTTGTCGTTGTTGGTTTTGTTGCTGTTGTGTTTTCTTTTTTCCCTTCTACACCTAGAAATTTATTGTACTTCGCAATTCTTGGTGTGCCTTAAAAACCCTCATGAAGGTTGCTCCACTGAAGGAATTGGCCCTAGCCACTTGTTTCCAAATCTCGCCCTCTACTGGAGAGATCCCAGCTGCTTTCCACAGGAGGCGAGGTTCCGAGCACGGGAGGAAGGACCTGCCCCGGGAGCTGCCTTGTACCCCAGCTCCAGCTCTCGTGTGTAAGTAGCCCACATTGCTTCACCCTGGTCCAAAAATTTCCTCGGATTAACCGTTTCACCGCTGTCCTGGTGAATTTAAGGAGGCCAACGTTTAACATTTGACTGGAGGAATTTTCAATTAGACAATTTTCAGTCAATCTTCCTGTATGACCAGACGGAGGACAAAGCAGCCTACCGACCTGCCTGCCTTCTATACATTTATGGTTCTTTATGTAAGAAAAGCCACACAGTTTTGACTCCATTAAAAGCCATCTCTCATTAATGAGCCTGTTTTTAATTCTATCATTGCCAATTATTCTCCCGAGATTTTTTCCTATGTTAATTTCACTCAGCTCATTTCTAGTGTATGACTCACTGAACTCTGATTTCCTCTCTTCTCTATGAAGGAATCTTTTGAATTTATTTTTTTGTTCTGACTTCAGAAGAAGGATGCAATTGCTGTGGGGGTACGATGTAAAATATTTTTTATCATATCTGTCTGAAATCAAAGTGGGATGACTGCATAACCAGCAGTGTCATCCCATCATCCCCACCTTTTGTGGAATTTGCGGAGGCACTGGAAAAATACCTGGCTTGTCTCTGCAGTGGGACAGTTCATTCCTTCCTGGGGACAAACCCAACCTACACTTAGCTCTGCCCCAAGACTCTTTCTCCTCATCTAGGCCAGTGTTTTGCTGCCTTTGACAGTGGGAACTTCTTTGGAATGTCCACCCAGATCAGGATGCTGCTGCCTTCTGTTATTCCTCCTTCAGCTCCTTCATGCTGCAGTCTTCAAGAGTCAGAGCTGATCTGAACAAAGTCTCATTATGGTCCAAGTTGGCGGGTTTAGGGAATAAGTTTAAGGTCCTTCTTGGATTTAGAAATCCTTTTTTAAAAAAAAACCAAAAAACAAAAAACTTAAATTTCTGTGGAATTGCTAGGAAAGGCAACTGTATCTAGATTTAATGCTCAAGTCCTTTGAATTGAAAGAAGCTTTTCTGTACAGTGTTGTGCTACCCATCGTGTATGATTAGGGAGTAGCTGTAGCTATCAAAGCACCAACACATTATATAGGCCCATATATCTCCATATCTTCATGCTGGTTAATCATAGAATCATAGAGTAACATTGAAAAAGATCTGAGATCATCTAGTCTAACTGTCCACCTACCATCAACATTGCCCACTAAGCCATGTCCCTCAGTACCACATCCACATGTTTCTTGAACACCGCCAGCAACAGGGAGTCCACCATCTCCCTGGGCAGCCTGTGCCAGTGCCCAACCACTCTTTCTGAGTTTTTCCTAATATCCAACTTGAACCTCCCCTGGTGCAACTTGGGGCCATCCCTGTCATCCTGTCACTGTTTTTTGGGAGCACATATACACTTCAGATCTGTTTTCTCTGGCTCCAAAGAAGGGAGCAATCAAAAAAATCATGCAAAAGTATTTTCTGTTATTCCGAATCCTGTCACTCTGAATGCCTCTTAGACTGAAGTTCATGGGACAAAAGCATTCTGTGTTTTGTGATTTGCGCAGAGGAGAGTGCTACCAGTGCTCACAACATCACAGGAGATATTTACTCATTTTGCCTTAAGCTTGTGAAAATAAATGTCAGTATCTGTTAGGAATGGCATCATGTTTTGAGAAACTTGTAGCCAGAATAAATACTAATGTATTTTTTGCTACCATTCATTTCATTTCACAGAATCACAGAATCACAGAATCACCCGGGTTGGAAGGGACCTCAAGGATCATGTAGTTCCAACCCCCCTGCCTAGCAGGGCCACCAAATGGATGGTGCACCAAATGCATTTCATGCATTGCTTTTTATTGTTAGATCCTAACCTGGTTTGTGTTTTTCCGGTTTTGTTTTTTTTTCCCCTCATTACTTCTGTTAATTTGTTTTGATTCATGCTTGTACGTATTGTTCACAGGACAAGTGTTTACAAATTAGACAGTCATTAGTGTTGTTGAATATTTGCTAATACATCAGATGCCTGGTTCCTTTACAGCATTTTACTGCTCTTTGTAGGTGTGGCTGCAGATTAAAGATTTCTCTGTGAGTTTAATTAAACTACCAAATATTGACTCTGTGTTAAATTAGAAGATGAATGGCTATCAAGGGGCATGCAAATTCACTCTGTCTTCAGCAGGGCTGGCTCTCTTTTCATGTCTGGGGCAGCTTTATCAACTTCTTCATGAGTCATTATTTTAGGTTCATTAAATTATATTTAATGATTTGAAGGTGATGGGGATGGGGAAGTGGCACTCCTGCACTGAAGCTTCTCAGGCAGAGTGAGTGTCCCCGTACTGCTGCTCTCCCAACATCCCCCTACCTGAAAGAAGTAGGCAAAGGCATATGCAAGAAAACCAGGCATATTTCCTTTCTCTGCTAAAGCTATGACAATGCCACCATATTCTGGTGGAAGATTTCTGTCTCTCTGGTGCCACCTGCCTCATAGTGTCATGCCAACAATCATGTCATGGATCTTCTGATTGAGGACTCCTCCATGGACTCCTCTGTTGCCCATGAGGAAGATCAGAGCTTTGGGGGTCCTGCCTATACAGATGGATCTGCTGTCACCACCTTTGCTTCTGACATCCATCACATTGTCTCCTTCTACCAGCAGGCTGTCACGAATCACACTGCATTTCTTCCCTGCGATGGTGATTCCAGTCATCAGGAACGTTTTCCTATCCTGGCCTGTGATCAAGTCCACTTCATAAGGTGAGACAGCCGACAGCAGCCCTCCTGGCTTGGTTGCCCACACGCACTTGTTGTCAGAGAGGCCCACAATGGCCACATCATCAATGTTCCTGTCGCTCAGGATGCATTCAATGTAATACTTCCAGCAGTTCATAGTGGCAGGGCTGCACAAATCTCTCAGAAATGCAAAGCACTGACCGTCCTTGCTTTTTGGTCTTGCCTCAGTCTTGGCAAGCTGATCCTAAAAATGTTGGTTTGTGAGCCTGAGCAGGGAAACCAGAGGAACCAACGTAGCAGGCTCCAACTTTGCCCTGACCAGAGACCCTGGAAGTTGACAGAAGGTTCCACGATGTCAGCAGCCACAAGCAGTATTATGATGTTGCACCTGCCTAGCACAAAGACCCCATGGAGTGCCATTAATGAGGCTTTCTAATCAGGTGCCCACAAGAAGGAAGCCCTGACATGGGGTCTCACCCAGCTGGCACCCAGCAGCAGCTGCAGGCATATATCTGTCACGACCTGACTCCAGACTGCCCTGGGTAGTGTACAAAGGTCACAAAGTTCAAGATTCTATCAGGTAAATTAAGGTGAAATGACACCAAGCAATCGGTTAACACTTTTACTCAAAGAAAGAGAAGCTTCAAGTTTGCCTGGGAAAAATGGTTATTGGTACTAGATAATAAATGCCCTATTAGCAATGAGCTATGATGCCTTTGCATTATGTTCTCCCTGAGTACAAACTCAGTTATTCATAATGTTCAGAAATGGGTCTGGGTCTTGGGTGGTTGTCAGGCCCCATCTAATGTTGTGATCAAAGTATGGCCCTATTCCTGTGCAAGTGCTATTCGATTCTTAGAATACTCTGGAAATGGGTTGGTGGTTCAGAGGGGCTTCAGGAGGTCTCACTCTCCCCCTGTGCAAATGACAGCAAGATGACTCCTTGGTGCGCAGGCATAGTTTATGAGATGTCTCTCCCCTACTAAGTTTGCCTGTTGTAATTCAGCCGGTCTTGTGTGGTCATCCCAAGATAAGAAAATCAGCCTGGAGGAATACCTCACCTTTGCAAAGCTCCCCCTTCCAACCGCTCCTTATTTCACAGAATCATCAAGGTTGGAAAGATCACTGAGTTCACCTTGTCCAACCATCAACGCATCCCCACCATGCCCACTAACCGTGGCCCACTGACTATTGCCCTCAGTGCCACATCCCCATGTTTCCTGAACACCTCCAGGAGCGGTGACTCCACCACCTCCCAGGGCAGCCTGTGCCACTGCGTCACCACTCTTTCAGAGACATTTTTTCCCAATACTCAATCTGAACATCTGCTGGCGCAGCTTGAGGCCATTCCCTCTCATCTTGTAGCTGCTGCCCAGGAGAAGAGGCCAAACCTCTTCACCACAACCTCCTTTCAGACAGTTGTAAAGATGGACAGGGTCTCCCCTGAGCCTCCTTTCTCCGGAGTGAACAATCCCGGTTCCTTCAGTCGCTTTCAGTAAGACTGGCGCTTCGGACCCCTCACAGCTTTGTTGCCCTTCTCTGGCCACGCTCCAGGGCCTCAGTGTCTTTCTCTGCTTCCAGGCAGCAGCAACAGGACAAGAAATAATGGCCCAAAGATGTACCAGGGAAGGCTCAGGTTGGGTATTCGAAAAAACTTATTCTCAGAAAGAGCGACGGCGCAGCGCCACAGGCCGCCCGCGGAGGCGGCGGCGTCCCCCAGTCCCTGCGCCCCCCGAACCGGAAGGGGGCGGCCCCGACCCGCCTCCCTGTCCGCGCCGTCCGCTCTGCGCGGCGCTCGGTCGCCATGATGGGGGCGCAGGGTCTGGTGCTGTCGACGCCGCGGGGCTGGCTGTGGGGGGCGGCGGCGGTAGCGGCGCTGGGCGTCCTGCTCGGGGCCTGGCGCTGGACCCGAGGGAGAGCCGCGGGGCGCCGCCGCCGCCCGGGCCGGCTGCAGCGGGTGGGCACGGTGTCCAGCCTGTTCGTGTACCCCATAAAGTCGTGCCAGGGGGTGGCGGTGCAGCGGGCGCGGGTGACGCCGATGGGGCTGCAGAGCGGGGAGATGCGGGACAGGTAGGGCAGCCCTGCGCGGGACTGCGGCGGGGATTTCCGCGCCGGGCATCGCGTGTTCAGCCTCGCTCCGTATCGTTCAGGTTTTGGCTCGTGATCAAGGAGGACGGGCACATGGTCACGGCTCGTCAGGAGCCGCGTCTCGTCCTCATCTCTACCGGCTGTGAAAATGGTTACCTGACCCTGAGCGCCCAGGGGATGAAGAAGCTGTGTCTGCCCGTGAAGCTGCCCCGCAAAAACCCGGTGCAGAACTGCAGGTACGGGAGGGCGGGGCGCTGCCCGGGATCCCCTCGTTCCTCCCTGCTGTCTGCCTGCTGTACTGTGCCTCGCTCACGTGCTTCAGGGCCGGGCGATGGTTGGCATTTTGAGTGGAACTGGCAGGTGAAATTCTTTTATTATTATGCGAAAGGCCGTGGTTGATGGTAACAAAAAGGTCCGCTTCTGATGTGATAAACAGTATCGGAGGAAAGTCTCAGGAAAGATAACGTAGCGTTCAAAGACTAAGTTGTGCTCTTTAGTCTTTGGACCCTGTGTAGTTTGCTTGTTTGTGTTTGCTTGCCTGTTGTTCTCACGTGGGTGAGAGGTTGTATCTCAGTGCCTCAGTCCTGTGTTTCCTGGTCAGTGCCGCTGTGTGCATCAGCAGTTTGGGGTTCAGGTCCGTGCCCCCTCACAAAGCTGTTTCAGGTGAACTGCTTACAGGCAGTCATCACGTTCTTAGAATCAACCATCATGAAGATTGGAAAAGAACCTCTGAGATCATCAATCCAACTGTCTCCCTACCACCAATACTGCTCTCTGTCCACGTCCCTGTGCCACATCTCCACGTTTCTTGAACCTCTCAGGGACACTGACTCCTCCACCTGTGGGCAGCCTGTGCCACTGCCTCACTGCTCTTCCTGAGAAAAAACTTCTTCCTAAGATTCATCCTTGTGCCTGCAGTCGTGTGGGATGGGCTTGCCCTGGTTATTTCTCTCATGTATTGAAATCTGTGCTGGGGAATGGGAGAGGGAAGCAGAATATCGCTGTTAGAATATCAATTCATACCTAAGGTTACTTAGTAACTGTACTCTGTGTTAGTTCTTGCAGAGATACCGCTTAGTGTTGTTAGTTTGGGTAGCGCAGGAGGTTAGTGTGCCTACTGGTACAATTAAAACTAAGTGCTGGAAAAGAACTCTATTTGTTATTAATATAAATCAGTTGCTATGATGGCCCCTGATTAGCACAGCTCAGTAGCTCTGTACATACAAAGGAGTGAGTTACAGATGATAAGGTTTCTCACAGAGAAATAGGGTAGTATATTAAAAATCAATCTGTACAGTCTATATGTTAGCCAATGAGATACGTATCAGAAATGTACACTATTTTCAATAGGTTATTTTCAAATTGTTGTGCTGTTAGAAGAAGATTTAAATAGACTAAGTGCATTTCCGTGATGAAAAATTATCTTAGACTTTGCAATTTGAGATCTCAGGAATTTAATTTTCTCTCAAGTCCTCTTTCTTTAGTTTGATAAACCTTTGCACTCCATGGCTTTAAAATTGCTAGATTTTTGGGAGAGTAAATAAGCAGAAGTTAGATGCAGGTAAATGGACTATGAACATTATGAAGTTTCTGGTGGTGCCATAAGATATAAAATTAGCAGTACCTTGCCTGGTTGTTTTCAAGACAAGTCCTGAGGTTTTGCATGATGTTGCTGCTTTTGTGCTCTGGGCTGGCTGATTTGATCCATTAAGAGTGAGGTTTGGGGACAGTAGTATATTCAGGCAAATGAAGATTTGGTTTTTGATCCCAGTTTTTTCCCTTCCAGCCTGTGAGTGGGAGTTGCTGCTTTGCTGCACCACACAACCTGCGGGCAAGGAGAGCGTGGTGCCTTCAGATCAGTGCTGGCCCATGACCAGTAGTAGGTGGGAGCCGACAGTGCAATATTGCGTCTGGCTGCAAAAGGCTGTGTAGGTCTGCACACACAGATTGAACACACACAAATAAATTTGGGGTGTTTCTGAAAAGAAAGTAAGCAGGAGTGGTTTGTCATTGGCTCCTTTTGCAGGGGTGGTTTGTGTGAGTGAAAAGAAATTGATCTTTTTGGCAGCAGAAGCCCACTGCTGGCTGTCATTTCCTGGAGCTCTGAGCCTTCCCATGGGTGTTTGTGAGGTCCTTGCAGCAGGAGTGGGCTCTGAGGAGCTGGGTGTAGGGTTAGATGAGCTGCCTGAGCATCTGCATGCATAAAGCTATGTAGCATGCTGTTGCAGGGGTAGAAAAAACTGCAGAGCGTTTGTGTCAACAGTAGTAAAACAATTCATGACTGTTGCTGGAATTTATGTACTGAGTTGAGGTTTACCTTGTCCTGTGAGGAAAGTGTTTCTTGCATAAATTTGTTTTAAATTCTGCTGCTGGTGGCTTTTTGTGCCCCGTGGACTTTGCTTCCATTATAAATGTTTAACCTCTCCTAGCATCTGGAATAGCTCAGTGTCTTAAATTTGAGCTTTGCTTGTTGAATTAGTTGCCTGTTGCCAGATCTCACTGGGGTGAGACCATGCCAGCGGCCTCATGAAAGGCTGGCATGTGTCCTTTTGTTGTTGTGCCTAATGTGGTGAGGGGAGCAAAGCCATCTTCCAGAGACTTCTTGGGAGACAGATCGTTTTTGGGAAAGGGTCTCATTGAAAACAGTGGTTGAAGTTTGCATTGTACTTCCTGCTCCACTTTGAGCTGACAGGCTGATTCTCAGGTGGTCTGGATGTAGTGTGTGATTAGATTTTGCTGATTTTTTTATTTTTTTTGGTGGAGTGTGTAAATACCAGCTTCTGACAAACTGTTTTGCAGCCCCTACTGTTTCATAGTTAAAATACTTATGGCGTATGCAAATTTATTAATGTCAGAATGCAGCGGGAAGAGATCTATAGGTGGCAGAGTTTTACTCAGCTTTGGGTAAACTTTACAGCACTAAAACATGAAGGAAAACATCCTTAACAATCAGAGACGATATCTGCAAATTCTAATTTCAGTAATTAATCACATCCTTCAAAATGCCGCTCATCAAATTGATTACCTGTCAGTCAGTTTCTAGGTAGAGATCTTTTGGTGTTAGTCATAAGTAAATGTAAGAAAATACTTGTTTTCCCCACTTGAGAATAGACAGACAGGTTTGTTACTGGTTGCTGTATTACAGTCAGCCCTGGGCACCTAAACTCTTTGCGGCTTGTTCTTTTACCAGCTGATATTG